GGGGTGTAATTTCCAAAACATAACGAGGATAAAGTGTATTTCAAGGGATACAAAGACTTTTAAAAATGATAAAATCAAACGCTCTAAAACTATTGTACGTTACCGAGATATACTATTTAATCGGCCAGAAACAAAATAAATAAAATCTAAACAATGACTTGATTCATAAATGAAAACAAAATATGTGGTTTGCCTCCCCTCCCTCCGCCCCGAGTCGCTGTGCCTTTGCATTTAACTACACGCATGTGGCTGACTTAATTCAATGTGAAAATTTGCTGAAAAGTATTTTGTGCAATGGTACGGTTCATTAACAGCAGAAAAACAGCCAAAAGAATGAAAGCCGGTATGCTATTTACACCAGTGCCTCCGGGGAAATAGAGTTTGGCTTTGTAATGCAGTTGTCACAGCTTGAACGGAAATTGGGCGGAACTCAGCGGCGCGTTGAAATTTTCTCGTTTCGTTATCGGCCAACAATTTCCTATTATTTATCCTCTACAAAGCGTGATTTCCTTCCTAGAAGAGCTCTCGACGAAAGGACTGTTCGTCGCGGAAAAATACCTCCAGACGCACAATCTAAGGCGGTTTCGACACAATCACCTCAACGGGTAAGGAATAATTAGATCGGAATTTTTGATATTACTGAGAGGTTATCATTAGCACGCGATGTTGCGATTTTGCTCTCGTGACGTCATAGGCAATCCCGGTTTACACCCATACGGGCGTACGGAATCTGGAAACGAGACTGTTGTAGAAGCCTTTTTGGCCCACAAGATCGATCATTTGTATTCACAAACAGAATAAAAAGATATGAGACATTTTCTTCGAGGGGCACCCATTAACTGGGACGATTGGAATGGTCGCCGGGTGCATTCCTTCGTTATTGATTACTGAATGTCAAGCTCGGCATTCACCGTCTCTGTTAATCTCGTTGTGTTTTCCATTTCGAAGGGTTGATTAAGTGTAACCTGACCGTAATAATAACCAGCTTTAGATCTTAAGGTCACTGAGAAAAGAAATTACGATTGTTAACTCGCTTTTTTTGAGGGTCGAGTTCAGTGTAATCTCATAATATAGATTTAATCTTCTGAAAGGATGAACATAGAATATTTTTTTTCATGAAGTATTCATGCATTTTCCGCTTTCCGCTATACCTATAATTCACAGAATGCTGCCGTTTGCTGGAAGGATTAGGAACACTCTTTGAAATAGAAAGTTGATCGTCTATATCAACTCTTAAAATTCGACGATGACATGGACTTAATCTCTGGGGGGGGAGGGGTACTTGAGTCAATTTTCTCCAAGTATGTGCCGCTGGCCTCTCAAAATTCCTGTCCCATTAGAGACTATTCTTTGGCTAATTATAGAAACCATCATAATCAACCGGAAATCAACTAACGTTGAATTACTTTTAACAATTTTTCTTCCCGTTTCTTTTGCAGTGAAATCGTTTCGCTATTTTCACACAAAATAAATTTCTGAAACACACCCAGGAAAGTGCTTGATCTGGTCAAAGAGAGTGTAATTACCGTTCACGTACCGTTTGCCTTTCATGAAAGGAGAGCTGTAGGCCGGTACAAATACTACTTTCCTTGGAGGGGATGTTTCTATACCGTATCGAAAGCCATTTATAATTGCGACCTGGTGAGGTGTCAAACCCAAGAAAAAATGAAAACATTACGAAAAAGGCGGAAAAGAAACTGATGTCCCGTCGTTTTAAAAGGAAAAAAATAACCGAAAAGGCAAATTGAAGAGTGGATGACAATATTTTTAACTCACTCTTGATCGTTTGGGTTGGTTGTCCTGTGCATCATGAACTGTTGTTTGTTTTCTCTGTAAGACGCATTAGAGTCTGAAAATAGTCTTGGTGGAATACATGACTAATTAATAGAACCCGGAGCTCATGGGCTCCTGGTAGTACAGAGGTAAACCAACAAACGGCGTCAAAAATGCATCATCAATAGTTTTCCGTTCGGCTGAAGAAGACCAAGAGTAGTGTAGCGGTCAAAATACCGTTCTGCAGAACGTGCATCTCTTTGTTCCCTCTCTCTGCACGCGGTAATATTTGAGACGGGTCGGGGAGAGGTTGGCCGGAGAGAGGTTGGCCGGGGGTCTGGCATTAATATAATAGCGGAGCTCGCAGAGCGTAGCCCCATAATTATACAAAATAGTAGCGACCCATCAAGCCGAAAAAATTTGGATGTACGACCGTACGACCGTACAAGTTGCTACTTTTAACATGCGTGGTCAACTGTGCCGCAAAGACTACAAATTAAAATATCTGAACATGCAAGTGACTCCATATCTCCATAAATAACAATTAGTCACCTTCAGCGTAAGGGAAATTGCAAGATGTTGATCGTTGAGATCTGTAAACACTAACCGGATATAAGAATGAGTCTGAGAGTAACTGTGATGCTGATGGTTACGAAATTCGGATCGACACGTGAGGACTGAGACGCAAAAACTGAAGCATTCTAAGCTAAATTTTACAAAAAAGCGTGACTTTTGTGCCAACGTAAAGGTTTGGGATATGAAACGTTTTTTTTCCTCGCCTCATAATCTGAAGTACTTCGTTGGCATTTTATACTGACAAAACAATTTTAAGTTAGCATGCATGATGCTTGACACGAACCACTTTTCATAGTTTATTTATTTCGAGTTCCTAATATAGTTTCGTAATAACGCATCTGAAAACCTCACGAAAATTTTATGAGGTGAGCGAGAGAACGTTCTTTCCTTTGTTCGACGCCGTATGGCGATGTATTGTGATTTTTTCGGCTGTTTTCGTGCGTGGGGTTTTTTTCTAAAATTTTTATTTGCAAACACTGTCATTATGTAAAAACACAATGATCTTAACGGGAAGAAGCCAACTGTTGTCCTGACGTCAGAATACTTTACCTGCTGTTGTTTGCTTACAATAATTCCGGTATCTCCGGATGTTTTGTAGAACTCTCTTTATTCTGTGGTGGCATTTCTTCATTTGTTATTGTATTAATGTTGATAATGATAATGAAATACAGTCATATCATGGTTATTTGCCCTTGCCTATCTATTTTCAACAACTAAATTTTGAGAACGTATTTTAAAAATTTAGTAATTTCACTAATCGCGAGCCACTGTAGACGATTTGTGGGCGAATATCGTTCATGATGAAACTTGTAACGTTTTGAGGTCCAGCTGTGTAATTTTCGTAAACGGAAGGCTTAATACATGTAGTTCCCACCGGGCATTTCATTATAATATTTTTAGATAACCTGAGTAGTTTTACTGAGAGCATTTTCTCTCAGATCTGAATTAAATACTCGATGTGGCTCTCCACGTTTTGCACACCACGAATCTCGAAAAAAAAACCACGCGTTATTGCATTGGCAGCTTTATTTAACCAGAAAATAATTTATTTCCACGCTTTCAATCCCACAGCAGCTTCCTCTGTCCTTTCACGAAAATTTAACCACGCGTCCGGGCGCGCACTGCTAGTGTGCTTAACGAGTGGAGAATCGGATTAAAAATTAAGTATGAATTTTTAATTTGATTACTGAAATTTCGTTTCTAATTGTCCAAGATTCCTTAGCACCTTGTTTTCGCCGTTGCGTAAAGTCGTCATGCAAGAAAATTTAGCAAAGTTACGTAATTGTAATCATGTTTGGAAGTTTTGAAATGAGCTAAGAAAAAACTACTGGAATGGAACGTGTAACACGAACTTCCTTTGGACGTCGGAAATATCGCGTGAATCATATTTTCCTTTAGAAGAAAAACTAAAAAATAAAACTGCAAAACAAAAACACCCTCAGATAACAATAATTTCTCTCTTGACGCGATAGGTTACTTCTCATACATCCGTTATAGCATTTCAACACATGTCACAGGCCTCTTACAAGAAAAGAGAAGCCCACGCGCGTTACCCACGCAGGCTTGAGCCGTAAGGAACAATAACGCATTGGTCGCGTGATAGAAAGAGCCCATTATGTTAAACCCCGTGGGAGATCGATAGTTGTGGTATCTAGTTCCACTGACGAAAGAACTTTGAACCACAAATGAGGATCATGCGCTTAAGTAGGAGTGGAAGCGGGCTTAGAAAATAGTGTAATCGTAATAATATAAGACGGATGACATTGTGATAAACATGAGAACAAAAAGGTTTTTGGAACATAAGCTTTTGTCAAGAAGGGGGAGGAGAGTTGCGGAAAAACTAGATCCCTCCCTGAGCGGGCCTTTCTTTCTTTTTTCAGAAGTCATGATCCGAACTCAAAGCTTGACATTTAGAAAGAGCGTGATGACTGAAAAGAAAACAAGATTTATCAATGTACTTCCTGTGTAATTGACATGTATGCGAGTTTCCCTTTGAAGTCAACAAGTTTGATGATGGAACGCGACTTAAATAGAAACCGATCTAAATTTCGCCTGCAAGCAAATCTTCAAATGTTGAATCAGCAATAAAAATATTAAGGAGAGGAAACTTTCAATTGAATGAAAGGAAGATCGACTCAACGGAAAAATATGCCCACGGTCTATAGGAATTCCGAACAAAAAAAAAACAAAAATAATTTAAAATAAATGCTTACTGATGTGTATCGTGTGATGGATTTAGGTAGAATGATACAATTTTCAGTTTTGTTAAAGTTATTTTCAGAATATACGTAATAAGGTATTTCTTCTTCCTATCTCGTTTCGATTTTCCGATTTGTTCCGGAATTTACCGACACGAATTACAAAGTCGACAGCGTGTCGAAATCGGGGGCGTCCCGGCGTGACGTGACGCAACAACGATTCAATATTATATCAAACCATGATTAGGTGGTAAAAGTCTGTTTATTTCCTAATGCGAATTTTTTTCCCGTATATTGGGTATTTGAAGCAATTGTCCTTAACAGGCGTGCATATATTATGCGGCTAGTGGTCAGGAAGCTCCTTTGATTCGAATGATTGGCCTACCCACAAATAGCATATGCCGGACATGACGTCATTTGATTGACGGTTATTCCCTAAAGAATTACGGGTGCGAAAGCTTGAGTGAGCATTTCGACTGGGAATTTAAGCTCTGTGGATTTTACGCCTGTTTTCTATAGTTTTGACGGAATTTTGAAACTCAGGAATTCTCGAGCAACGTGGAAAATCGCCATTGAAAAGGGTGAAGGATATTTTGGACGAACATGAGACCTAAATTGCTTCTTTTGGGTGTTTTTGTTGTTTGTGTGGCCTTCGCAATCGATCGCACAATGGCGGAGTTCGATGATTCGATTGACATCGATGGCGACACAGATTCCTCGGAGAAGAAGGAATCGGAAAGCACTAAAACTGTCAAAATCTTTGACGGCGAAGGGGACGACGACGAGGACGATGATGGGTCTACCACTGTATCAGATGAAAGTGCCAGTGGCAGCGGTGATCCTATAGATGCTATAGTGGATGTTACTGTTGTTTCACCGTCCACCAAACAACCAGACACCACAACCGAACAGACCACAGAAAACCCTAATGTGATAGCAGATAGCACTCAAAACCCATCGGAGGACCCACTTGTGGACGAACGTCCCGATGAGCCTAGCGATAATGGTGAAAGCGTGGTCCATGGCGGTGTCTCAGATACGGATGACGACGAACGAAGTGAAGAGGATACCGACGAAGACGAGCAAGATACTCCGAACGCTGAAGCACTAACCAAAGAGAAAGAGGGAAGCGTTCTTAGGGTTCTAACTACTGAAGTAATTGCCGCAGTTGTCGTGGGAGCTGTCTGTGCTGTTATTCTGATCGCATTTTTGGTTTATCGCCTCCGGAAGCGAGACGAAGGTAGCTATGCTCTGAGTGATGTCTGCTACAAAGACACATACAAACTTCAAGGCGACACAGGGAAAGAAGCCTTCGTTTGAACGGACAGGAGACAATAGATTTTATAAGCTGAACTTTTTTACGGACACAAGTGAGTTTTTCTAGACGAGGTAACTAGTAGTGTACGTAATACACATAAAATATAGACTATTCGATTGCGAGGAGCACAACCTCGAAGAGCATAACCTCGAAGAGCACAACCTCGGAACGACTTCATGTCACAACGCATTACTGCTGTTAATTCACGTTTCAGAACTATGTTAACTCGCAGAAAAAGGTTAAAATGATACCCTTTTTCGTAACTAGGTTTGTTTTTGTGGTTTTATTTGAAAGCGAAATGAGGTACCACAGATTTATTTTTATAAAATTTGAGGTTATGACAGGTAGCTTTTTCTGACCGTATTGTAGCTTTCGTTCATAAACATTTTTCTGAAGGTTTTTTGTATATGATACTATATGTTGAAATATTTACGATTTTTTAAAACTGTGTTGTTCTTTGGGGCACGATACAACATTTATGAAACGTCTGTATGATACGGGTATACTCATGATAAACTGTATGAATTTTATAACACTAGACAAGTTGCAATTTCATTGCAGAGAGGTTGAATGTTGCCTTCTTCAATGGTAGTATGGTTTAGAAAATCACTGTCTAAGGTAATTTTCTAAAATTAATCGACGGAAGTTGACTCAGAAATCTCCGTTCTAAAGTTGAATGTGGTGTAAAGGAGAGAGAAAGCATTCATTGGGAAGTATTTATCGCGGAAATGTAGCGGATTTTTTACTAAGTTTGAAAGACAGCAGTTGCGCCTTTTGGCGATTGAATGATTCACATGTAAACCTCGTTTTTGAAACTGCACAAGCATGTGAAAAAAGCTGTGAAATTCGGTTCGTTTTTTGTAATAAATAATCCTTAAGAAAAACTTTTCCACTGTTGGTGTGCACAAAGCTGTTTATCTGTATTGTCAAAGGAATGAATCTAATGTGCGAACGGGCGGCATGGCCTCGTCCGAATATTTTGGGGTTTTGAGGACGAAGTGCCTTGTGATGTTTGAAAAAAAATTGGCGCAGAAGGCGCTGATACATTTACATGTAACGTTTTAGCAGCAAAGAACGGAGAAATCGTCAAAATTGAACGGAATTTGATTTGTGAAGTACAGATGTTGGCCTGTGGTCGCGGACAAGTTATTAAAATTGAACTTGACATCAAATACTCGCTAAATAGTCAAAAAATGCAAAGATCTCTCCCAAACTGTCGACGTCTGCTATCTTGCCTCAAAGGCAGAGAACGCTCTCTTCTCTTGAAAGCGGTAAATTGTTTTTGAGTCCATCGAGCGAAATGTTTTCGCTTGGTACACATTAGTACTGCGCAGTGAGAAATCCTTTGAAACATTGTGTTGTGCCGACAGTCACAGGATAAATTAACCACCATGCTGATAAAGGACTGCCTCCAAATATTTGCAACCTCTGTCGGTCGAAATGATGATGTATGTTTGGTTTTCAGCCTACAGTGTCTCCCATTTGTGAAAGAAAACAACATCAGACGCTTTTGTTCAACAACTCTGACCCTATTTTCAAGCGGCCGTATAAAAGAAAATTTCCTGTAGGTCTTAAAATTGGAGCTTTATTCTGCTTAGCCTAATCTCCCTCGCTGGAGGTAATATTATTGAAAAAGGACAGGATACAGTGCAAAGTTTCTCCAAACAAGTTTATATCTCGTCAGAAAAAGCTATGTATCTCTCAAGCGACATGTTAGCCGAACCCCAGGCAATCAAAAAATTGCTAGCACAGGGGAAGACAACTTTAGGCGTAAATATTTCAACCTTGAAACTTAATAGCCGTTGAATTGCTTGGTTTATTTGCAACAGAGTGGAAAACATTCAGCCTAATACAATTGGTGGAGAGAAGTAGCCTCTCGCGCATTACTAAAATAAAGCACTTGGTTTATTGGTTTTTTTCTTCGTACAATATGTTAATTTTATGCACTCTAGCAAACGAAATCGAAAACAGACGCCAAGATTCCCCTTTCAGAATCACGCCATAGAGTGCCGAAGATCATTTTCATGCACAACAGTGAGTTAGTTTTTTCCGTCCCACAGGGAGGTTTGACCACTAAATCAATATTTTCCCAAATTATCATACTTCCACGAACATACACACCTGTGATATTTAAACTAGAAACTTCCATCAGTTTTGATTTTGTGGCAGCCTTACCTTCGATGTCAAATGTGCCAGGGAGATGTCATTTTGTTATATCTGATATTTTTATGCCTTTGTTTAGTAAATATGGAATTATTTTTGGAGTGATGAGCAGATCAATCGAGACTATTTAAAAAAAAAAAAAAAGAAAATTACGAGGTGGATAATGCCCCCCACAACTGGGAACCCTAACTCACAGGGTGAAATTTGGCAGAGGTACAATTTCTAGGTAACAAGCTTTATGATGAAGTGCTTAACTATAAATGGCTGAAATTTCAAACTCCTCTCTTATCATTTATTGCCCAGAACAAACCACACAGTATGAATGAAAAGCCCATGCATTGTTCCTGATATTAATTAAATGTTAAATATCAGATTTTTCTATATTAATGCGATAAGATGAAACTCACTTCCTCTGTAAAATGATGTTTTTTTATGATTGATGAATGAAAGCTGATCACTTTGTTTTGAACAATGTGCAGTCAAGATTAGCTTCAACTTCTGCTTCAGTCTACAAGATTAAGGGAAGTCTAGTTCATTCCACTGAAAACAAAACACTTCTTCACTCACGTAGGCTATTATCGTAAACATGTTGGGCTTTTAAATTAACACCCAAGCTTGTCTTGCTCAATTATTGACTAACAAATGCTGTGCCGTGCTTTTACCATGAAAACATTTCACAATATTGAGTTCAGTTTAATTAACTTAATAGCCACAAAAAGAGAAAAAAATTGGGATTACAAATTAAGACATTACCTCTAGCGAGTAATACTGAACCTTGAAATGCATTCATTAATAAAGGAAGATTACGTGAGAGGAAGTTTATGTATTAAAGTAGAGCATCAGAGATAAATTTGGTAGATTAAAGACACGAAATCTGTGGGGACAGATGCCATACAAATTGAAAAATGAAAGGATTGTACAACACATTATTTTAAAATCATAAAATTCAATGAATTTGAAAAGGAGGCCTTCTTTCTGCTTGAAACTAAGGAAAAAAAAAATTTATACCTTAAAAGAATGTTGTCTTGTTTCCTAAAATTTCAACATGTCTGCTGCTTGCAAGACTCTTGCATAGAAGTTCATTGTATGGGCATTGAAAAAATACACGAGTGAAAGAGGGCTGAACAAGAACCAGGGATTCTCTCTCAGTTGCTTCTGCCCCAAGTTTGGGCTGACTTAACACTTAACCCCTTAACATCAGTATCCATATTCTCCATACCAATCACTGTACATTTCCCAAGGTGCTGACAAAGAGAATTTATCTAATAATCAAGAGCTGCTTTAGTTTGTGATCATTTCCTTTATTCTCATGACCTTAGTGTTTGATTTGAGGGTGATATTGTAAGGAGAAATTAGATACTTGGCACTGTAAGGGGTTAAAGGGTTAAGCTGTTTTCATTTAATTCAGGTATTTCTTTTTGCAAACAATCACATTTAAAATTTGTCGTAATACATACAAAACAAAACCCTGAGATACACTCAGTCACAAGAATGCTGATAAAAGGGGGTAAGTTTCTATAGAAACTGTGGTGTTGCATCGGTGGGAGAGTGTAACAGGGTAATTTAGTATTATCAACTGATTTGACAACTTAAAACTGACCATCATTAAAGATGTGTTTCAAGCATTAACCCTTCATTAGCCCTGCGCTCTGACAAAGGGCTAACATGTCAGCTTTGTAACTCAAAGGTGACTGATTTTAGCTATCAACTCAGTTGATAATACTAAGTTACAAAAATGTTGACAATTGAAGAGGTGTTTGCAATGAGGGATGAGAGCCCTCCACTCTCTGGGTACAATATATACACAATAGCCATGATTAGCACATGCTGGTGATGAAAGCTATCCACTTTTTCCTTGAAAAAACGATTCCCACAAAGATTTCTTATGAATAGTGAGCAAAGGGAATCAATGATTCATAGGCTTTTAGGTCTTGCCTCCATTAATCATGCTTTTTAAAGGTCAACATTTTGGAATTAACCCTGTAACTCCCAGATCAAATTTATCATCCTCCTTACTGTTAACCATACAACTCTTATAATATTAGTTTAGAGAATTTAACATTGGATCAACTTATTATCCCCAAATTGATATTTTTCTTTATTCACATCACTTATCTAGTTGGTATTGTATTAATATTGTATAGAGAAATTCTGTCTTGGTCACTCACAGGAGTTGAAGGGTTAAGAGTATTTTCATTATGCCGCAACCCTTAAATATGTTCTTAGTAGCCATCAATAATTTAAATGGCCTACCAACTGAAGATAAAATAAGAACACAATTAGTAAACAGAACAAATAAGTGATTAAATATATATATATATATATATATACAATAATTCTTTTGAAAAAGTTGTCATGCCAAAGTCCATCTATGTATACTTTCAGCATGATTACAGTTTTTATTACATCCACTATGAAATCGCAAGTGATCCTTGTAATCTGATTGGATTTATTCATGAATCACACCATTTCGCGCTCTAAATGCATCTCCTTCCTAACCAATGAGACAGCTTTACTGAAAAACAACCACCAATCACATTTCAAGGCTTATTTAAAGAAACTGATCAAATTGCAGGAAAACGAAAGACAAGTTTTGTAACTTTTTATAAATCAGCTCAAAACTGGATCAATAAATTACTAATGTACAGATTGAAAAAACCAGTATTTAAGTGACTGAATTTTGCAATTTCAGAATAGATATTTATCAGGTGGTAATTGAAGTTTTAGTTGTGCAATTTTGGTCTGAAATAATACCATGTATTGTGATTTCAAATCAAACCCATGTTGTACTAAATTGATTTTGAAGTCACACATATGACTTTTGAACAAATTGCACTCCACTAAGTTCAATTACCATCATTTTTGAGCATCCTTCAATTACCACAAAAGATTACCTTAAATTGGTTTGATTCACTTCTTTAACCCTCAAGATCTGATTGTAAATTCTCCTCTCTTGCTGCTACACATTTCCTTTTAAATTGGTTACGAGAATTTGGTGTTCGACCAAGATAACAACTTCTACCTGATAAGTTTGAGTATTCTCATTGCAAAATTGCTAAATAATGTATGGACACACTAGGGAGAAGTTACAAGCTAATCACTGCTGGGAGTTCAAGGGTTAAGGCTGAAATTTTACAAAAAAGTGGCTAGAGATCTTGATGATCAAAAGCTCACAAAAATTTTTTTCTGTTATACCTTAGTGTATCTCTTGTTGTGCTCAACTGCAGCCATGAACCCTTTAACTTCCAAGATCTGATTGTTAATTTTCCCCTGTAGCTGCTACACATTTCATTGTAAATTAGATGTGAGAACTTGGTGCTAGATCAAGATGGCAGCTTCTACTGATAAGGTTGAATATTCTCATTACGTATTTGCTGAATAATGTATGAATATTGTGGGGAGAAGTTTTATGTTAATCACTTCTGGGAGTTATAGGATAAACCCTTTCACTTGCATTATCTCAAAAGTAATTGTCTTTCCTTTGTGGGGGAAAGTACTTAAATACATTCAACTTTGCAACAAAATTTTGTTCACAATATTCAGTGAGGCTATTTAAACTAAAAGTATTTCACATCAAAAACCTTGGAGTCCATTTTAAATATTTCAGTGAAAAATCTCAGTTAAGGCCATTCGTCATTACTTAAGAATTCAAATTGCTGATATCCTTTCCTTGACAGTGCACAGGACTCCATCCTTAGGGAAAATTGTGAGATTGTCATCCCGCTGCACAGTCTGCCCAGGCACCAACTGAAATTTAAACTTTTGAAAAATGCGTGCCATGATAATGGTGGCATTGATAGCTGAGAAAACCTTTCCAATGCAAATTCTTGGACCACAAGAAAATGGAAGGTAAACAAAGTTTGAAGGCTTAACATTGTCTGCAAATCTCTCTGGAAGAAAGCTTTCTGGATTGTCCCAGAATTCAGGAAGGTGATGAGAGACAAATATTGAAAAGTGTAACTTTGCTCCTTTAGGTAATAAATATTGTCCAAATTTCTCAGCTTTTGTAGTGACACGGGCAATACCCCCCACAACTGGATGTTTTCGTAGACTTTCTTTAAGTGTCTGCCCAAGATACTGCATCTTTGCAATGTCAAAAAATTCAACACTCTCTTTTCCTCCTATGACATTGTCCACCTCCTGAAATATCCTGAAAAATATGTGAGAAGATTAAGTATTTCTATTTATATGATAAACTGATTGATGTATAAATGCATTTTGACTGCTCCCTCCTTATTGGAGGACAGACTACAAGCTGTAGAAAACTATAAGAAAATGTTAATTTTTTATCATGCACTGTATAAAACAAATAGATTCCATATCACTCTGTGTCTGTTCAGTGATATATCACATAGGACTTCAAAAAATGCTATATCAGTGACACACTTGGCTGCTCCTCATGTGCTACTTTAATGTTCTAATCTAATTATGATCTCATCTGTGATCTATTACTGAACAGAAGTACCAGATGCACAGCAGAAAGGAATCTAGTTGTTAAATGGACATCATCATCATAGTGCTGTATATATCATGATTTGCTCCAAATGAAAATTAAGACCCTGGGTAATGTCAGGTGACCAACTTCTTCCTAAAATTTCAATGTAATACTGCACTATTCAATAAAAAAATTTTCACACCCTTTTCAGCAAAAGGAAGGTCAAATTGAAAGAACCTTACTAATTACTCAAGTATCTATTCAGTAGCTGCATCACAAACCTGTTTTCAATGTCTTCATTCAACAGAGTTTCTAGCAAGGTAAAGCTAAGTTGGTTTGCTGTTGTGTCTTGACCTAAAAACAAAACTAAATTAACAATAATAATAACAACAATAAATGCTTTATTAAGACAGGGTAGCAAGTAAAAGTGATGGGCTAATAAACTTATGGCCCTGTATAAAGTCATAGAAAAAGAATACAAATTTTAAAATCTGAGACGATTAATGAGTTAACAGATCCAATATAAGCTCAGTGGAATTTTCTCTTATAGGAGAGGGGGGGGGGGTGGGTGGGGTGGCTGTATCATCTGTCACAGGGTGAAACTCCCATGGGAAATTAATGGGGGCAGTTGTAGTGATTTGTAACAGAGACTTGTTGATACATTGACATGTCTTAACTTCCTTAGGGGTTGTCAAAGCAACAGTCCCAGTTACAAATACATTTAGTCAAGTGTTTGAATCTAGGAGAATTATTGTGTAGTCAGTGATCATTTTGGTGGGAGTAGTTCTGAAAACAAGTGTTTTAGATGACTGACTTTTTGTCAGTTTCAGCATGGGCTCATTAAACTGCCATCCAATTCCTTTACTGGATCAAGAACCCTCTGAAATTTTTCTCACGACACACAAAAACAAGGCTATACACCACCTAAATTGAGAAGACTCAAGAATATACAGCTAGAGAAAATGAATCATTCACTCATTTGCCACATTTAGACAGGCTGGCCCAGTTTACCTTTAAAGTTGGGCTAGATGAGAAACTTTATAAAAAGTAACAAGGCCAGACCATGGCACTTGCAGCTATGTTCCCTTCTTGTTGGGAGAAGTGTGTTGGTTTTTTCATGGCCCCTGCTAACCAGCATAATAGAGATGCAGGAGACAGGGCTTATGGTTTGTCATCCTTTCCTGAGAGAAGACTACAATTTCTAACCATTTTCAGATGTCACAGCAAAGGCAATACACTCTCCTCTGTTATTTTAGGACCCTGAGAGTTGGCTTGGTCTGGAGTTTAAGACCTCTTCCTCCCCCATGACAATCTGGCACAGTTACCACACAAGCTAACAAATTTTAACACAAAATCATTACCTGCTAAGAAAAATGTGAGGAACTCATCCACAAGTTCTTCCATGATAGCATGACTATTCTTTGAATTCACATCAAAAGCCTCCAGGATCATCTGGAGTATATCGTTAGGCCTTTTCTTAGAGTCTTCCATGGCTAGCAGTCGCTGTTCTATACATTCCTTTGCACATTGACGCAAAACAGATATTGATTTGGAAATGGTCTTCTGGTACGATTGTTTGTAAAGTGACAAGGACAGTAGAGGCTGGTAATAGCTCTCTGAATAACCTTCCAGACACTTACTAAGATTTCTATGGACTTTGCAGTTGTGATCATCCAAGCAATGCAAATCCAGACTAAATGCAACCTTAAGGAGCAAAATAAGAATGATTTAATAAATATAACATACCATAAAATTCCAAAAATAAGCCCCTCCATGTATAAGCCTCTCTGAATAGAAGCCCTCCTAATCTGAAAGGCAAAAATATCTCCTAAAATAAGTCCCTCCGAAGATAAGCCCCTGGGAGTTTGTATTTGGAAATTATCCTTAATTATACCAAGCAAACTACACATAATCCCCATTATCAGGAAGCCTTTTTTAGTCATAAAAGAATGATTCCGTGCTCTAAAGCAATGTGGTCAACAGGTTTTGAAGTTTATTGTCTTTTACCCAGTTTGCTCTTCACTTGTGCTTTGAATTCCTTCGGTCTATAGACAAAGTATTTGCAAGGAAGTTCAATCTCGCCACCCTGAACCAAAACTCCCTCTAGTACTCCTGGAGCAATAAGAGCTTTCATAGTTATCATGAACTTTGAGCCTGAACTACATTTCTGTTATTACTGTATTTCTGTTCTAATAAAGTTTATTGCTATTGTGTTTGAACTTGGCATTTTCAGTGTGATCAAATTATTACGAATTTCTAACCAAAACCTTAATATTACCAGTTGCACATTCAAAAATTTTGACACAAATTCCCTCCGATTATAAGCCCAGCCAATTTTGAAATGCAAATTTCTCTCCTATAACAAGCCCCTCCCGGAATAAGCCCCCGCTTCCTTACTTGGCCATAATACCAAACAACTGCTTTACAAAATGATTCCACTGCCATACCTTTGCAATGACATCCAAAGTCACTTTTTGGAATTCATCCACCATTTTAATGACAGTTTTCCCATCAGCAACTTTTGACAGCTTTGAGATAAGAGCATCTGCGATGGAATTGAACTGTGGGACCAGATCCTTCAAGTAACTGCGATGAAAGGCTGGATTTAATTGGTTTCTCTTTGACTTCCATTTTTGATGATTCAACTGAGTAACCAGCCCAGAGCCAAGAAATCTGTGTCGTCCAAATATATATGCTAAACTGTCGTACGATGATGGTGCCTTTGGAAGGTTTAAAGTTACTAAACCATGTTTTATTAATTCTGGGCCTGATATTACCACAATTGGCCAGAAAAAATACCACCAGACAAATATAGGCCCATACACAAGAGCATGCTCTAGAAACAGTTCAGAAAGAAGCTTTCCTTTTTCTTCAACTTCTGGGAAGTTTCCACGTAAGAAACTCCTCCGTTTAGGTCCAGGAATATGGTCATATTTCCTGTGCTCTTTCCACACAATAAGCACCAGTAAAAGAAGTACAAGAAGCAGTACTATGGAAGCAGTCATCAAAAGTGTTGCTAGCTTATCGAGCAAGAAGGGCGCCATTTAAGATTATGCAGCGACGAGCTTTGCCAATCTTAAGATGTGTGCTCTGGAGTCCGTAGTTTCTATAAAAAAAAAGGTTAAAAAAAGGAAAAGATAAATATAATGTGTGAATGAATGAAAACCGCGCTTGGTTAGCTTACGTTGTAAATCGCCGGAATGCCCCGCCGTGCAGGAGGTCAACGGTTCGCCCCAGACCGGATCAACACGTAGACTTTTAGAATAACTGAGAACAATGTGTTACCTTTGCTAAAATATCCATACGAGGTAAGAAAATCTAGTCTTCTCGGACCCCGTCTCCTGCGTCTTCTCTGTACTGGTTAGCAGAGGACGTTAATAACGACCTACGCACTTCGCGGAAAGAGTTGTGAACGTAGCTCTTGATACGATGTTGTGGTCTGGCCTCGACCTTAGGCTGAACTGGGTCAGCCGGGCTTAATATCGCAAATAAATAAATTAAACAATTCATTAAACAAGTCATTATAAACATACCAACGATTACTTATGATTAGCACAAATTTCGACTTAAATTTGTAATCATCGATTACCTCTTTCGAATTTCTCGACTTTCTCCAAACTATCCTTGTTGGCACTCCCAGCGACCTTTATATCTCAAAGGACTGTTTCCCATCTTTTACAGTTATATCATTTATCATTTCTTGTAGAAAAAAAATTGCATACTAACCTCTACAATAAAAGGATGATCAAATTATCGACGCGTCACAATGTAACCGCCATCTTGAAAGCTGTGAAGGCCTGGGAACTGTTTGAGGTGTGCCTGGTAAACTTGTCCCATTAAGTAAAGTAGTGCTGACCTCAATACTGGCACCTTCCAGTTCATCAATGCACCCAGTTTTAAGATCTTAGTTTTCGAGGTCTATATACGGTCATATAGGTCCTAGGTCCTGTATGAAGTTTTCGAGAAACCCGACGATAGTTTGTACGAGATTTTCGTTCCCAGAGTACTCGCTCCAAGTGTAAGTGAACAATATGTAAAAGTGTCTCTCGAGCACGATGCGGTTCTTTTGTTTTTATTGCTAGGATGTCGTCACCGCACAATGACAGTTGACAACTTGACTGTACGATCTTCGTCGCCAAGAAAGGTGGAAAATATAATGTTTGAAAATTGATATTTTCAAGAATTGAATCGACAAAAATCTCGATGTATTTCGGAAATAAAGATCATTCTTGCTGATCAAAATCCATAACACCACCTTGGTTTTCACGCGACGTTGAAAAAAATCCAAAATCTAAAATGACAAGAGCTATTACAGTTTTTCCTCCGAAAAACGAACAATCTCCTAAATACTAACCTACTGGAAAGGTTTCATCGTCGTGGGCCACGTCTAGTTTCGTAATTTTTCTCTACAAGTAAATAGCGGCCCGGGAAGCTGATACTTAATAAAATATAATTTGGTGATATGAAATTTTGGTCCCTGAACATTAGAAACACTAGAAAATGTATTTGGATGAGTTTTTGCAAGTTCACAATGGATAACTAATTATTTTAGTGTCGAAACGAGACAACAGATATTTGCGTTACCTCATGGCTGTCATGCTAGTCATGTTCACCACGTTCCACCCAAAATGGCGTCCTCATGCTGAGCTCAACGAACTTATCTCAGACAATTTGATGAATAACTCATCAGTGGAAAATCCAACAGACCGGGAACTTAGAAAAATTGATTATTTGTTAATACTCTACAATATCTCACTTTCTTGGCGTTGGCCATTTGATCGTTTTGATTTTAGAGTTCGATTGCGTGACATGACAGTGAAAACAACCAGATATGATGTTGAAATCATCCCCACGCCTCGCCTAGGGGTCTCTTTAAAAATATCTGAAAATACCTTTGGTCTATCAGGGGCAGAACCCCTGGTGGGGTGGGGGAAGGGGGAGGGGAGGGGGGAAGGGGGGGGCTCTGGGCTTCTCCTTAGATACCATTTTTCTTTCAGTCAATAAAAAACAAATTTCCTTCTTTAGGTTTGAGAAGATACGGAAATCTGAAGAATCTCCAACTTCCGGGTTAATCCCGTTTGTGTTAAAATTAAAAAGAACTCGAAAATTATTTCCCTGTTCTCTTGCCCAGAACTTTTACGACTTGGCCTGATTGCGCCTGGCAACTTTTGAGCAACGTTTTGAGTTTAGAGAAACTTTTTTGCGATTCTGAGCAATTTTTGAGCACCTTTTAGGTTTAGAGCACAAATCAAGCACAATGAAACCAACGGTTTTTTAAAAAAATATATATATTTCTTATATCGGTTTCGCAGACTTATTATCTAATATGGCTAATATTAGAACTCGGACAATCGGCTACCACGACCTACAAAAATGGCTGTCTTTGTTAATTTACTGTCCTTGAACGGAAATGGATGGTTAGGTGACCGATCATCTGTGGGAAGGAAGTCGAACATTATCATTTTTTAGATTCCACGGTCTTTAGTCGCTCCATTAAATAGTGTGACAGCCAAAAAATTTGCGTCATGAAACTTTGACTGTCACGTTACCTGATTACCGTTACGTGATTGGTTATATCAGGAAGTGACCCCCACATCTTATATATGAATTCGAAGTTAACAGCTGGTCAGTTAAACAGTCATTTGAGACCTTTCTCCTTAACTTTCCCATATATTTATTTTTCTTCTACTATTCTGCAGATGAAATCGTATAAACGCGAAGCATATTTTCTATTTCATGAACTCAACTGATCTCTGAGTGATTTCTTGGAATTTCAAGCGCGTGAGTGAAAGCAATTTGAACAATGTTAAAATATCACGAGTGACCAGTAATCTCTAAAAATACAAGAAGTCACACGATTTTCTCGTCAAATTCTCGGAAAAACTTCTCGGTCATGCTACTTAGCATACCTCACGTTGATCTCACAACCAAAAAGAGTTGCTCGCTATGAATCAATGCGTGGTTTCGTATCCTTTTCACGTGGTTTTTTTTCAGCCTATTCTTCTATCTTGATAAACCAGGTTATATTAGCTTTAAATATCTTTTTTTCTTGTGATCTTTCATCGAACAACTTTCCCTGGTTCCTCTTCTTATTTTTTGTAACTGTACCTATTTAGCAATTTCCTTTTCGAGTTGTTCAGGATACGACATCTATCAATCTATTTTTTTTTTAATTAACAAAAATTAACGGGACCTGTTTGTGCGACCATCGACGCGAGTGTCTGTTCACTAGAGAGCCCAAAAATGTAATCACACACCTAACACCTTTGGCCAAATTAAAATGGGCAGCGAGAAAAAAAATCCAGGTTAAATCCGCACATGCACACAAGCTAAATAGCTAAACTTGGTTGGATTTCGTACCAGCTTCCATAGTATGCAGGGACTCATAGGTGCCACTCTTTTTCGATTAAGAGTCTCTTTCGAATAATCGCTGGATAAGGAAGCCAAACTGTTAATAATGGACACCGGTACCCTCCGTGAAACGCCACACCCAGTGAGAAAACGCGGTGGTTATTTACAACGATGGGAAACACAATATCGAGTTCGGCACAACTTGGTAATCTGCACCTTGCATTCAAGGAAAATTTTTATAACAAAAAGTGAGACGTAAGAACTTTCATCAAGTGTCTGTGTCATTTATATTTACTCATGTTTATCATATTAGTTGTCAGTGAATTTAAAAAGTAGTTTTGAAACAGGGACCGCCCTCGAATAAACTCCACCTTTTTGTAATTGGACGCCGCTTCAAAAACGCTACAAATCCAATTATTAATAAGAATTCTCAGTGGTTAATGAGTAAATCAGTTTTTTTCCGCCTGTCTGAGATGATAACAGTAGTCGAACAAACTTTGTTGTTGTTTTTTTTTTCCGCAGGTTTCCCTGGAAGTTCATTAAATTATTATCCATCTGTACTTTTGAGTGGAGAGCTCGAGAGAGGCGCTGTAAATTAATTTGAACCTTGTGAACGGAGTTCATCGTACCATCCGGAAACCATGCACCACGGGAAGGAAAGCCAGCGGTGAAAGAAGGAGGAACTGGAGGCGGGGTGTTAGGCTCACGTTACGAAACGTGACAGTCTTGCTCATGTTTTTGTCTCGGGACTTAAGACATTTACATAACAGCTGACAGAAGAAGTTTACAGTTCATTTAACGGATCAGAGCTGAAGGACAGTGGTAGTAGTTGAAATCAGAGGATAAAGCACGCTCATATTTTTGGCTTCTTTTGATCGTGGATTTGTTTATTTATCACGGCCCTTCAAGTTTGCAGTGAAGTACGGAGGAAAGCTGGGCAGAAGCTCATGGGATTTTCCAAATCGAAAAAAAATCGCAGGTTTGTCTATGAAACCTTAATTGTAAATAAGGGAATTCCATCACTTGTCACGCATTACCAGAGGTCATTCTGCAAGTTTTCGATTGAGACGTAATTATTATTATTATCATTTCTCTTTTGCATCGTGGTAAGAAATGGAAACAATGTTTTCTTCTTTTTTTCTGCGTTAAAATTTCACCGTACGATTTAAAAGGTTTCGAATTCTTTTGGTTCAATCGTAACGATTTCTCGAGCTTAGCACGTGAGTCGAAAGGTCCAAAAAGAGCGGTTGCAAAACCATCGACACGATCGTGACAAAGACGGGAAAAAGCCACATGATTTGCGATTTGTGCGTGATCATTGCCTTCGAAAGATGTAAATTTCACCTCGGCATAAAAAGCGTACAATCGGTAGTGTTGCGTAAAATTTCTTTCAAGTCCAACTTTGAAATAGATTGTAACGCGAAATGCCCAAGTTTGGTATCAATTGGGTGAAAACCTCTTGAATCACGCGCTTGTCACTGGGTTTTGTGCTTCCTTGATCAGATTTCGCAACCAATCAAATGACAACAAACTTTTTCCCGCGAAGACTTTGCCAATCACGTGCCTAAAAAAAAATTGTCTTCTAGCGTCATGTGACCCCGACGCCTTCTTCCCACGTCTCTCTCGTTGCTTGTTCTCGCATGTGTACGTGTTGTGAGGGAAATGGTTTTAGGAGCTAAAGGCAGCGCCAATGTTGTCGAAAATATTCTCCTTTGGTGCACGAAAACCTGGGAAAAAGCACAATGATGGCGACCTGTAAGTTTCTCGTCTGAATGACTTCGTTCCCTCGTTTGAAGATCGTTATAACGACGCTTAATTTTGTTTTGTAATTTCACAGCGAAACACCAGACGAAATTCTTGCTACTAGAAGGTAAATTATAACGTGCTAATATGACACGATTTTGTCGATTTCTGTTCGTCAGTCTTCAGGTGAAATACTAGCTAAATTTGCGGGGTTACAAGTTCACTAGTGCTCAGAGTATAACAGAATTTCCTACCGTAGCTTGCATTCGTGACCGAAAAATTAACATGAATGCGAGTAGTAGCAATTGTAAGTGTACAATCGTGTCGCCTGCGAAATATGTTTCTTGGAATTCCTGTTAACGAGAGGATACTGTTTAAAGACCCCTGCTACTGTCAAAGTTTTGAAGTACGCGTAAATGTAGCAATATCGTAGAACTTCCTTTCTTTTGTTATGCAAGATAAATCCTGTATTCTAGGAAAATTAGTCGCGAACCTTTGAGACTGTTCTGGAAGAGTATGTTATGAATGTAAATCGACAGCATATGTAAATTATTACGCAGCAATTGTTGGTAAAATATGTCGCCCTTGCATGAGCCGTCATGTGAATCTTCCTCCCAATTACCTCCCTGATCCGTCTGCGAGTATCGAATTCAATTACAGAAATTTAAATGTATGGAGCTAACTTCAAGACGTGTGATTGTAGAATTGCCAATGTTTCTTTCGAATAATTTTTGTTTGCCATTCCTGAAAGAGGAACTGAACCTTAATACCAAGTCTAAATAGCCTTGTGATCAGTAAAGCAGCAGGAAAAATTACACATGTTTAGAGCTTAAAAAAAAAATTAGTTTTATGTCATATGAACCATGACAAGAATTCTTTACATAACTTTCGCATTGTCTGGCCGTAGCCGATCATTTATATGAAGGACATGATAATACTGCTATCGGACAAAGGTCGATTGACTTTTTAATGCCAAGTGGTGTCCATAAAAATGATTTGTGTTCAACTCCCTCTTGAATTTTGCGACTTATAATCGTTTATGTTCATATGAATTGCTTTTTGCCTGCTAAGCATTACACAGCATTTTCTGTTTCGTTGTCTGTCGTGCTAGTTGATTTTCAACATCGTCAAACCATTTGTTGTTGTTGTTTCTATTGATAAGTATCACATACTAGTCGTACCCTGCAGTGTTTCAAAACTTGCATAGAGTAGTCATTTACTATGAACTATATGAAGTGGGAATTATTTTTCAATCAGATTTGCTGACTAAGACATATAGAATGAAGTTTTGTGGGAAATTGGGTCAATTTTCACAAACCAGAGTCCTAACAATCATATTTTTGCATAATTAAGATTTTGAAGTTAGCACAAGTCATCTTTCTTACACTACTCTCATTTGGGCAATGGCATTCAGGGTGGACTTAAAATCTGAGGAAACAAAATTTGGATTGTAGTTTATTCTTCAAAAGTCTCTTGAGTTGTGTTTTTCCTGGAAATCATGAATAATACTTTTTTGATTTTACTTGACAATTTGTCAACTTGGGAAGTAGATTACAATCAGCCTCTGCTTCTGGGCAAAGTCTGTGTCAGGACCCTTCTTTTCCTCTGCCTCACTCCTTTCCATGCAAGGTGTTAGCACCAGTCTTTTTTTTGCTAAATTTTTTTTAGTCTTATGACAGACTTGGCTAAAAAGCAGGGACTGCTCATAGTCTTCACACGTAGTTGCTCCAGATTGGCAAATGAGGAAAGAGTTCCAAGGCTTGCCTTCAAGAAAAACCTCAATGACTGGATAAATAGTTACCTGATAATTATTATAGCTATAATTGGCTAGATTGAAAATAAAATATCTTACCTATTCAATTATGCCTTTAAAGGCCCTTTCCACAACTGGAACATGATGAGATAAGAATTCTGGTGTTCAAGGAATGTGATCGCAAAGGAAAGACCTTATTGTTTGACTCCAAAGCAGTTCCCAAGAGCAACAATCAACAGGTATTCTGTTAAGTATAATTAAACTTGTTTTATAATAGTTAAGTGCATTTGTACTTGCCATAGATGGATGCCACTCCTTTGGTGATAACTTTGCTGAGGTTTTGTGAGTTTCCTTGCAAACTTAGTGGTAACGATATTGCAGGGGTTTTTAGGGATGCAGCGATAATTGACAGTGAGTATCTTGTGGGATTCTATGATTGGATATTATTAGTGCTCTGGACTTTTGATCTTAGGTTCAGGGATCAGATTCTTGACCCTAAGGTTCAAGGGTAAACTATCATGGGTTCATTTTATTTTGCCCTTGGCTTAGACACTTTATTTGGCCCTTTTGATGCCCTAGATTTCATGATCAATTCTCCTTACTGGCCATCATCACCTCTCCAATGATTTAGCTGTGAGAAAGTGATGCTTAATCAAACATTATTCCCTTAATGTTATTTTTCTTTCTTCTGATCTCTTTACTGGTTCTTGTTGTACTGATGTTGAAGAAGTTTATTTTTTTCCCTGCTGGGAACTGTGTATTGTCTTAATCAATTTTGAATCCAAAGTACATGGTGTGGTTTAATATTTCAGTGCATTTTTTTAATGTCACCAGGATGCGGGGCAGAACAGAATTTCTGATTCAGACAAGAAGCTTTCTGGAGGCCCCAGGCTTGAGCAGAAAGGAGGCAGATCTCAGTCAAAATTACAGGTTAGCTAAAGTGCTGTGTGATTCAAGAAAATTTGAACTGCACTGTTATACATTTTCATTTTAGCAATATTTTATAGAGCTAGTGTATCAATGTCAGTGACTGAGAAACTGCAGACTTACCCCTCCCTTAGTCAGCTGACTGTTGTTGGGTCAGGGGAGCGATGCTTTGGAATAACATTGGTGTATTACAGCTAACCGATGCAACTGATGATTTCAAGCTTTCATCTTTTTTCAGGGTCAACTAATTGTTAGAAACCAGAATCAAAACATATATATATATATTTTTTTTAATTTTATTCATATGTTTTTAGGTACATGATTGCTTAGATACTGACATTGATCTGAGCTGTCACATGGTCAAGCTGTTCAAAAAATTCTCTCTGTCTGATTCTTCCTTTGTGCACCTTTTCATATGTCCAGTCATCTAAATTTTTAGCCATTAATTATTGAAAAGTTGGTTTTTAAGCCAGTCAAAGAGCAGTGTTTCCCTGGTTGCTGTTGTATTGATTATTGAAGATGGACTGAAGATGGTTTGGTTGTGGCATTTTTCATTTATTTTTTTTTTTTTGCATTTTTATGAACCTAGACTTCATCTCAGGCCACAAAAATTCCAAAAAAAATGTCTCAGGCCACTATCTACACAGTAGTTATCTCTCTCCTGCACTTCTTGATGATGCTTGTCAACAACTGCTTGCATGATGTACAAATGCATGCATGTGCCTATGTGACGGACCAAAGATTTCTTTAGTTGGTGCATGTATTGTGCTGTGATCAGCTCATGTGAAGTAGCTTTCTCCCTTACCTTATAAGCATGACAATTTAAAGAAGTTTCAATCTGATAGAGCAATACCTATACCTGTTAAATTTTTAAGAATTCCAAGTCATTTGAGGCAGTAATCAGAGGTACTTCAGGTGATAAAATTTAATGGGTTACAGCTTGAAAAGGAGAACACTGGTGAATGGGTTATGAAACTGCATAAGCCCTCTAGGATTATCTGACAATATTTGTAACTTTGACTCATTTTCATTTCAGTATGCACGACAAAGCCATGACTCCAAAATGTTGGGGGAGATGATCTTTGGCTCTGTGGCAATGACATACAAAGGGCAAACAGTCAAAGTCCATGAAATAAGGTATGATTCTAAAGGTCAAAGGTTAACCTAAGGGAGTTGTTCTTTTAATTTTTTTCATGAGTGTATCTTGTGAAGGAAAATAGAGGAACCTCTCAAATATGTATTTTAGTTTAGCATGAGTTTCAGGTAAAATGGTTTTATCTTAGTTTGTTACCTTAATTCTTTGGGTCAAAATAGAAAATATTAAACAGATGAGTTGTAAATCATTGTGTTTTTAAATCATTTAATTTGCAAGGTAGATGTAAATATACAGTGTATGTAGCACAAAGATTACTGTCTTAAGTTTTTGTTGAAATTTTCAAGAAACACTCCCTCATTTAACATGTTAACCAATATTTCTCACTAAAATCTGAAATCAAACTAAAGACCTAAAATTGGTTAGGTCATAAAGATACCAAGTTTTAGTTTTTGTCACATGAGGTTTAACTGACTAGAAATTAGGATATTAAAATTATTTTGTGAAGTCATAAGTATGTTGTGATATAAAGCAAACTTTGGAAATATGTAATTTAGATAGGTAAGTAGCTCTGAAAGTCTAAGCTAATAGAGTTTACAAATGAAATGGGCATGTTTTGTTTATTTTAGAACTCCACACCAGCTCTTACTGACCAATGTGTTTGCTGTCCAACCAAGAATTGTTCTGCCCAGCTGTGGGTAGGTGTCAACTGTCCTTTGATCATGAGTTCTTTCATGACCACTTCATGAGAAAAATGTTTCAATGCAAAAAAAGTTATTTTTTATTTGTTCTTTTTTGTTTCTTATTCTTTCTCAACTTAAATAAGACCTTTGAAGTTGATTTACCATCAACAATATAAATTGTGTTAACCCTTTAACTCCCAAGATCTGATTGTGAATTCTCCTCTCTAGCTGCTAACCATTTTCTGTTAAATTAGTTACAAGAATTTGGTGTTAGATCATGATAGCAACTTAACCCAATAAGTTTGATTATTCTCATTACTTGTTTGGTGGATAATATATGAATATCATAGAGAGAACTTTAATGTTAATCTCTTCTGGGAGTTGAAGGGTTAAATTTTGTGAACATACAACTGTACACTTACAGTAACACCAGTTTTCAAGGTGCGGTACAACATTGAGATTAAAACAATAGTTTTACTGGCAACTTTGATTATGGTTAGTAATGTTTGGACAAAGTTCTCATATTTTCAGCATGACAGACTGTTCTTTATACATTTCCTAACGTGCTGACAAGGAGAATTTGTTTGCAAATCAAAAAGTTCCTTTCCTGGTGATCATTTCCTTTATTCTCATGACCTTCATGTGTGATTCAGGAGTGATCTTGTAGGGAGAAATTAGATGCTTGTCACTCTTAGGGTTTAGAGGGTTAAGGGGAGTTGTGCTAAGCTCCAGCCTCTTTCCTGTGTTTCATGTTGTTGTTTGATTTTCCTTGTTTCAGTGATTCAAGCGATTATTACAGCACCAGCAGTAGTCATGTAGATTCAGGAATAGGAGACAGTTCAAATAGACTTGATCCAGACTGCGAGTCATTGTCATCACAGAACAGTTTTTCTAAACTTGAAGATTCTGTTCTTGGTAAGTGTTTTTGTGTCCTGGAGCATTCAATCATTTCATATCAAACTGCAGAATTATGCATTGTTTAAAGCTTAGAAATACATTACATGTAGGACATGGAATGACCCAGATTAGGGTGAATGCTGATAGTGTTACAAGGTGTATGTGAAATATTATTGGGAACCATATGGATGAGAAAATGTCACCTTTTTTAGAGTATTTATTTTCCTTGCACTTATTACTTCTCTGTATTGTCTGCTACACATTTCTTAGAATTTTAGTTATTAGAATTTGGTGTGAAATCAAGCAGTGGAAGTTATATTGTAGTGGAAAAGTGGGAAAGGGTGAAGGGGAAATGTGTGACAGCTGTTGACGTTCATCTCAGATGCTCGAGATTTCACACTTGATAGTCAATATGTATCTCACTCTTACATGCTCATGTACAGTAAATGATGCTTTTCTCTTTAATTTTTTTAGGGAATTCCTCCAAACCAATGGCTGTCCCTGGCTCTTCGCCGGTAGTTGTCATTGATGCTGATGAAGACAGTGGATTCACAGCATCTGTTGATAGTAAGTTAGCCAATGAATATTACTTGTACATGTTGGTTCTAAAGATCATCTCTTCCTGGCCACCAGAAAGGCTTTAGATAGTGTTTTTGTTCATAATGAAATACAGTTTTGTTCCTTTACCTGAAAACTACTGGGATTAGAAAAAATGCTGTAAATGCCACAGTTTCAAGAGACATGTACACTGCACATGTATTTTCTAAGCTACAGTAACAAAGATTTGCTGTTGGAAATTCATCAGTTGTCTGGCAAATGCTGGACCTCTTCAATACATCTGTTGCATTTTGATCATTTTAACTTCATGTAATATTTCCAGTATAGCAACATTCACTGTTAGTGGGGTTTCAAGCAAATACTTGATGTAAAATTTACAATTGTCTAAATTTCTTTTTTTGTCTTTAAAGGTAACACATCGTCATGGTTCACCTCTGCATCCTCACCTTGTGGCAGTTACCACAGACGTCTCCGTCGAAGTCATGCCACCAGTATTGACAACAGTTTTGGAAGGAAGAGTGATGAGTTATCTGAAGATGTGAGTTCACAAATCAATTTGAATAATTTTCCTCATATGGGTGTTAATGGGTTCTCGAGACCTTACCAAATCATACCAAAAAATAATTTCACCTGGATCCAGCTTAGAAATTTTAAAAAATACAACATATGTATCTTGACATCAGAAATGAACAAAATGGATGGAAACCTCCAATCACAACACAGGATGCATTGGTTATATTTTACTTGTTGCAAGTTTGGGATCTCAGCTTATAGCAGGGATCTGCTCATAGCTGAATAAATTTGGTCCTGACAGCCAGCAAGTTATTGATAAGGGCTGTTTTTCCTTGCCTCCTTGTAGATTTCTCCACCTGTGGGAAGAAGACCAAAGCTGGGTATTGGTATTTTGTTTACTCTTGGTGACAATGAAGATAGAAGCAGGTACAGTTCTTACTTTATGCAGCTTACACATATGATTTTCTTGTATTCACAGTCATTCATTCATCACCTCATGCGTTTATTACAAACCAACTTAATGACCAGCTCCTAGTTGGCTTGTTATAGTGTAGCTCAGTTGGTAGAGTACTGCACTGGTATTGCAGAGGTCATGGGGTCAAATCCCATACAGGCCTGAATTTTTTTCAGGCCTTATTTTCACTACTTCTCAAGTAGTGTTCATTACTGCAAAGATTGCTTTCATATTCATGTTATTTGGTCTATCTACCTATTCTTAACTCACTAATGTAAAACAAATTGTAAACTTCTGCTCAGATATACATGTATTGTAAATGTGCCCACCAATTTTGCATTTCTCAGAGAAGGATTTCATAGTTGCAGGTCATTTAGCAAACTACATGCAGGAACAGTTCTGATGGGGGCTTCTTTACATTTCTTCACAGGGCTCTTCAAGGGGTATTTTTTGCACATTTCCCTTTGTTTGAATTGCACGTGATGAAACTTAGAGTGTCCATTGAGAATGCTTGTTTTGGAAAGCCAAGGTTATTTACAAGTCAAGTCATTGAGGTAAGGACACATGACAAATGTGTTCAATTCTTTTTTTTTTTTGATGTAGATTGCTGTTTGTCTGCAAGTCGTACAGGGGTGTGTAACTTGTTTTTTTGCTTGTCTATTTTTCTGTCTCTCTTTTTTGGTGTTTCAACCCTTAAGTTCTTTCTTGCATAAAGGGGGTAAGTTTCTAAAGAAACTGTGGTGCTGCGTTGGTGAGAGAGTACAACAACTGAGTTGATAACGTAAATTAGCCACTGTAAAGAGTTTCAAAGCTGATGTTTCAAGCATTAGCCCCTTGTCAGAGCAGATGGCAAAAAGGTAACACTTGAAACATTAGCTTTGAAACTCTCTCTTGCATAATTTTGTTTGTGTATCAATTTAAATCAAATTTACTAGTTGTGTGTGTATGTGTGTGAATTACTCAGGTATTCAATTGTTTTGTCAACAGGCAGTGAACACATTTCGAGACACAATTCACAATATGCTTGCAACACCAAGACTCAAGGTAACAAACATGAAATATTTTTACTTTATTTTTATTATGTTAAACTTATCACAGCTCAACCTTTTGTAAAAATTCAACATCTGGCAACCATTTTTGAAGTAGTTAATAAATGTACAGTACAGTGTAGATGGGATGACCATATTACACAATAATACGCGATGTGTTTCTCACCTAAAGAAATAGTGTGCTGTTTGAATCAGCAAAAAGGAGGAAAAGCGTTTCAGCCAGTTCTGTGCATAAAACAGTGTTGATTTTCTTCCCAATTTTTTTTATAATTATCATGAACACAATAAAATTACCTGATGAAAACTTAACTGCCTGCAACTTGTTGACTGCCTCAGCAATTTTGGCAACTAAAATGGCTGCTGCGTTTAGCAGCTTATTCATGTATATTGAATTTATGCAGACAAAACAATAATGTAATTGATAATGATGGCAGCTGTTTGTGACTGGAGAGAAGAACAGAATTTGCATCCTGGCTAACACAGCATGTACATTGTACTTATCAGCACCAATTGTAACCAAATCTTGAGTGTTTTTCAAAGTGAATGTCACATCTATCATATAGATGTAACATACAACCAGAGGTCAGGAAGTGACTCTTTTCACTAAATTGTCAGCAATATGGACTTTAAGTTATGAAATTATTGATAAAGTTTGTTTTGATTTCTTTAGGAACCAGTTTGGTTGAACATAATGACACATTCTTCACATCGCTCGCAGCTGTGTGAGAAATTCATGGTTGAGTTGGTTGACTGCCTCAAAGTTGGAAACAGCAGGGAGACAAACTTGTAAGAATAACTTAAAGTAAATTTGGAGGGTTGCTTGAGAAAAAAGAAAAAAATGCAAGTGGAAAGTGAAAGATTGCTAGATTTCCTTCAAATTATCCTCTACTCCTTTGTGAAACCCAGGGACAGGATGATGTGGAATGGAAAGTCACCTAGGGTGTTATTCCAGGCACCCCTTAATTTTTTAAGACTACAATATAGTAACAGTAACTATTAATGGTTTTGTTTACAGTTATTGTTTATTAATCCAGTTACTAAATTAGAGGCGCACAAATAAATGTATTATTGATATTGAATGTTTTCCTTTCCTTTCCTAGTTTCATGGCAGCTGTTCTGACAGCTGTGTTGCAGAATCATCTTGCATGGGTGTCAACAGTAATGCCAGCTGGAACAGCCCCAAGCCGAGCATTTCTGGACAAACATTCATCCAAAACTGTGAGTCTTAATGTTCTTCTGTTGGTAGTAGAAATTTACTGTTTGAACAAGGGATGTTTACCTTGGTGGTGGGAGAATTGTCTTATCAAACATTGATGTTTCAACCCCAATTTCTTCTTGTATTGCAGATCCTCATCATTGTTCTTAACATATTCTTCACATGCATCTTGTGGGATCCATAAGGAAATTTTTAGCACCCATTTAATGCAGATTTTATATTTTTTGTTCATTTATAGTTGGATCTGCTTGCTCAGTCACATCCATACAATCCACTCTGGGCTCAGCTGGGGTAAGATAATATTACATGTTCTTCATTTTAATCTTTTGAAGTTGATTCAGGGATGAGATTGTCTTGGTTCTTTATCAGAAATACATTTATCCCTTGTTTTTTGGTAATTGTTGGAAATTCAGTGACACCTTTGACTGTAAGTTATGGACCAAGTTTTTCCCACTAGAAATCCAAGTGGAAAAAACAAACCAGGTTCCATAACTTACATTAGGGACTAAGAGAACAAGGTTGGTAAGATATTTAGTACACTGAATATCTGTTGTTTCAAATAGAGGGGGAAGATGTCAATTCAAACAAACATGGGAATTAAACGCCAGTGAAATTTGTGCCCACACTGAGGTGTTAATTACTGTTTTGGGAAAAAAGGAGACAAATACTTTTCTAATCTGAAAATTGTTCCTACACATGATTCTTGACCTGTTTACAATCCCAAAGTATGCTTGTTTTGTAAATTTTAAACTTGAAATCCTTCCTGTTTTGCACATATGAACACCTTCCATAGATTTTCTTCAAAACAATTGATTTTTCTTAATAATTTTTTTTTTTTCTTCAGAGACTTGTACGGGGCAGTTGGATTTCCTCTTCGAGTTACAAGGACTGTAGTTGTCGGGAAAGACTCCAAAATTGTTTCAAAAGTGTTGAATATCCTAAGTTATTTCATAAGATGTACTGAGGTGTTTGAACATGTACAGAAAAGAGATGATGAAAACAAGGATGCCATGAAGGAGAACATCTCTTGTTTTGGTCAAGAAAGTATACAGACTGTCTGCTCCCAGTGTGGAAGCAAATCTCTTTCTGACGTTGAAAACTCTGGGAAAACTTTAACAACTGAGCCAAGTGTTTGTATGCAATGTAAACAGAACTGCGAAGGAAAGTGTGTGCTACATGACAAGTTAACAGGCAAAGAAAACAGAGAGATAATACGTGAGCAGTTGATTTCACAATTGCAAGGTACTAATGGGCTTACACATTGTTTGCATTGCAATGCAAGAATTACTGACGGAAGCTCAGTGGAAAAACTTCCAGGCATTGAAATACTTCAGTCTGTTTGCACATGTAACAAGATCTCAAATGGAGGCGTGCACAAGGAGTTGAAACATTTTATGAAAGATTCAAACTTGATAGCTCTTGCTAATAGTCACTGTGGCTCTTTCCAATGTTATTGTTGCAAAAATGCATCTGAAAAAGGAAGCATTGTTCCTAAAGGAAGAAAGTTCAAATGTTACTGTGGCTTGGAAATTGATTCTGACAAGAATCAGGCAAAGCAGAATTGCGTTCACTGTTGTGCTCAATGTTTAGAAAAACTTCAGTCCTCACAAAGTGCCAAAGGCAACTATCCTACAGAAATAAACAATTCTCTAGCAACCAAGATTTTGCAGGCTGTTCAAAGGCAAGATTCTGTTGGCAGTGGTAATGAAAATGTGGGTAGGCGGATTTCTGAGGCAGACAGTTGTATTTCTGAGGACAGAGACTCCATATCTCTGAGAAATAATGTGTTAGATAAATGCACTGATGTGGAAGAGAGCATAGCATCTTATGGAAGAAGTGGATCAGCTGATTCGGGCATCCATCAGAGCCCTTTACACTCGCCCTCCATTCGAAGACCTGACAGTTTTCCAACTGTTGTCTCGTGTCATGTGGAAGATGAGCAATTGCCGGAAGAAATTCCTTTACCTAGGTACAGAAAATAAGTTCAGGACTTTTTATGAAAAATATTCTGTGAACAATAGATGTATTTTATTAGACATTTTGGTGTATGGTATTGCTCAGTATCTTTTCGAGTTGTGCCTTTTTTCGACGAGCTCGCAGCACAAGTCACAGTACGAACAAGTATTATCCAACTGCTCTATTTCATGTGCGTTTCTTAAAAAGTGGGAAAAGCGAGTGCAGTACATTTGGATGATAAGATGCATTATAACAGTCTTTGTTAGTGACCGTTGGCTTTACTTTTTTCCCTTAAATTTGTTTAAATTTTTACTAGTCTTGGATAATCTGACTGGTCTGTAGTTTTCTTACAATGTGTGTTATAACAGTCTCAGAAGTACCATTTTTTCTCCTTCTTTTCCTGCCACAGAACAACACTCTAATTTTATATTCTTTATTAACAAGTACATTCACATTTTCCCCTCAAACTCTTTTAGGACTGAAGAAGTGAGCTTCTCCATAAACAGGTAAGATAATGTTTTTCTTTTTTTTTTTTAATTTTGTGAGACACTTTTGGATGTTATTTGGATGTTATTTGTGTTCTTAGCTGAAGAGTATCATGGAATCTATTATTTAAGCTTTCAAGTAGATGTGCAGGAATATGGAATCCATTTGTGAAATAAAAATATTAAATGTACCTAATATTTTACTCCACAGCAAATCAGATGATTGGAAAATCTTTAACAACTTTGGACGATCAATGTTTGCAGGGTAAGTTGAAAGACTTCTACATGTTAATTTTGCTATACTTAAAAACTGGTATATTGGTAAATTTGTCTGTTTGATTTTATCATGGTTTGCAGAATTTTCAAGATTTCAAAGACCGCAGTTTAGAGTTATTTATTCCAATATGATTCCTCTCTTTGAATTCAGAATTGTGGACAGTTATTTGCCAGACTTGGTTCTTCAGGGTGTTCAGGAAAATGACTTTCGAGGAAGACTATCAGCTGACCTAAAGCTTGCATTGCAGGTGAGTAGTATGATTAATTCCCATCTTTGCCCATCATCGTAGTTATGTGTAATTCTCTAGACGTGCATGCATTCATCAGCTAATAACACTTTTTTACCTAAATGGACACTGTTAAGAAACATGTCAGGGAAATATTTTTGATGTAGAGCTGATACCGACCCGAAAGCATATGGCTTTTTCGGTAGCGTATTAGACTCAAGGAGATTCACAGATGATGAAAATTGCTGGTCGCCGGCCTGAAAGGAAAATCCTTTTAGGCTGGTCTAGCTGGCTGAAATCTTGGCAATAGTGTTCTTTGCCATAAAATATTGTTGCAATTGCATGACATTTAACTAACCTCAGGGAACAAACGATAAATAACAGCGCTTTAATAATTTTTTTTTCACAGCACTCAGTTGTGGATGATCCGGTCTCAGAAGCAGTGTGTATCATTGCTAACACCGATAAATGGTAAGTGCGAATCATTCATTAATGCTCCCAACACTTTCACAAAAATGACCGCAGCCTCGATATATTAAAATGACAAGGACCTAATTGCAAAGTTAGGGTCAGTTGAAGGCCTTGTGTGTCTCAAGAGATTTGAAATGAAAAACGATGCAAAAAAACAGAGTTTCAACTTACCACAATAATTCAATGAGGAGAAAGGCAGTTATCAGGGTGCGCACGGATCCTGGAAAACCTGGAAAGTCCTGGAATCTTATTTTGATATTATTTTGACAGACTAAAGGTCCTGGAAAGTCATGGAAATCTGTTGAACTCGTGCGATAAAGTTTTTAGATATATATCTACGTAACGTAACGTACGTTATACGTTATATACGTTACGTACGTTATATATACGTTACGTGTGTCGAGCATGAGGAGAATTGATTTTGACATTTTGGGAATGGAAGGGTTAAACGTGAAATTTGGAGACCCGGAAAAATCAATCTGAGTCCTTATTTTCGAAACACGTTTCTTATGAAAACGTTTGTGGTAATTTTGAAATTCACCGCGAGGCTTTTGTTGTAGGACTTGTGAAGTTGTCTCCATGAAAAAGAATCGGAAACAGCCAACTTGGTAAGAATATACCTGTATTTTTAATCAGAGATCAGTACCCAGATGCTTTCTACCGTACAGTTTTTGAACACTGGAAGTTAGACAGGTTTTTTGAATCAGGAAGCAATGAGACAAAACATTTTCGATGAATGTTATTCTGAAAATTGGATGTGAAAGGTTGGAGAATCACCACTTAATCAACATTTGTCATAGAAAGTCGTGCCTTCACTTCAGTATTGGATTAAAGGAGGAACTAGTATTCTTATTTTGTGTATGTGTATGTTTGTTTTGTTTTGTTTTTTCCAATTAATTTGCAATTTAATCTTCGCCTTGATGCTCAACTTGTTTGCTGTGATTTATTCTTCTAGCGATCCCATTCACCATGAACAACAAGTAGAAGTATCCAACTTAGTGTTATCCATGTTATCTTCAGTCAGCGGCTTATGGGACATCAAAATGTCGGCAGAGTTTGTAAGTTCGGATCTGTTGTTTCTACTTTTGCTGGGTAAATTTTACCTTTTTGAAATAGATTGATAAATATGCTTGAATGGGAGCTAAAATACAGGTGTTCGATTGCTCGAGGTTGACACCCATAGCTACATGGAACAATTGTTACTTTTCTTGTAAGTTAAACAAAAAAGTAGTTTCAGGGGAAATATAATTGTTTGTTTATTTTTTAGAGCTTCCTCGTGAGCCTACAGGTTTCATGTAAACTTTGTACTTCGCCCAGCCTCACATCACCACAACCGTGTTTTTTGCTTCAAAAAAAATAAATTAAAATCTGGGTTATGACCCTCTAGGCTTCAACTCAGTCAGAATGACGTGTTATACCATGTTCATCAGCAAAAGCCTTCTTGAATTACATGATTTAGTGAATTTGAAGAAATTGATATTGGTTAGCTATTGCTTTAAATGTAATCAGAGCGTTTTTGTTAACTTTTACAGTGTTTAATGCATTTGGAAGATAAACTGAAAGAGATATATCTGAAGAGCAAGGTAGGTTGGCATCTTGATATTCTTTGCTCAATGGAGCGCTTGTCGGTTAATTATCGTAAACCAATCAGAAGAAAGGAAAATAGTTTTAGGAGCCAATGGGAACCCATAGTAAAACCGACCAAACTGCTAACAGCGCGGGAAAACGCCGGCGACAAAGTCGTAAGTGGTTTTAGCTTAGCATCTGATTGGTTGAGAGATGGGCGCGAGTTTTCTGGACCAATTACAGCAATCTCCCGTCAACACTCAATTGAAAATTGCTCAAATGGCTGCAATGCTGTCTCGCTAGGAGCTATTGTTTGGTTTTGTCACGTGGCGCTCTGGTGTTGTGTAACACGATCAAACACTAGCCGCGAAAGAGACAAGTTGTTTTCAAGACTGAGCTCTTAAAGATAAGCCCTTTTTTTTCTAATTTTTTAAGGTTACCGAAGGCTCTGAATATCTTATTTGCAATTTTTTTCTTCTAAACTTTCCCAAATGATTTATCTTTATAAGTTAATTGCAATGAAGTAATATTAAATTATGATCACAGAACCCTTTTTTGAGTTACAGGCACAGTGAGCTTATTAC